GGGGTATGTTGTCCAGGGGGGGGTGGAGAGGGTGGAGAGGGTGGAGCGAGGGGTATGTTGTCCAGCACTCTGGTATGTGTTCAATGCAGCAGCAGCAGGTTATGTTAAGTATCTTGAATGCAGTTAAGCTGCAAAATAAGAAGTGGGGCTGGTGAGGCAGCCTGAAGGACTCGTCAGACTGATGGGCCTGGTGAGGCAGGCTGAAGGACTCGTCAGATCGTAGTACCTGTCCCTGAGAACATGTACATGTATTTGTTTCTCTGAGGACATTTGTTACAGTAGATCCTTTGCATTCTTTACAGGATGGGTGGTAGAGGGGTGGGGGAGGCGGGGGGAGGCGGGGGGGGACGGGKGCATGTACCTATCTCTGTCTTTGGAGTGTGCAGGGTTTTCGGGCCGCATCTGAGTGTGTGCCTGTGTGCACATGATTGATGCTTTGAGTAGCGAAGAGCTTTTGGGGTTGGTAGTTGTGGTGTTAGTTCTCATGTGGGCACTCGGTGTGGTATCGAGTGGATGCAGTACGACAGGGAGGAGCAGTTGCGGAGAGTGCCTGCGAGATCTACCATTTGGTAAGGAGGGAGCTTCATGCGGAGAGTGCCTGTGAAATGTGGCTGTGGCTACAAGGTAGATCTACTCGAGCATTGAAATGCCGTCATTGAAGCTAATAATGTACTTTTGGGAGGGAACTGCATGCTAGCTGAAGTTTGCATCCAAGTGGCTGGGGTATTCTTTGTATGCCAAGAAATCAGAAATGGAAGTTTCGATTTTGCGTTGGGGTTCATCATTGTGATGATTGTAGTTTGACTGGTGACTCGGCAGCACAGCTGCACTCCTGAGCAGCAATGGCTGCGAGGTTGCAAGCTATAGACATGGCGGGCTCTTCTTTCCTAGCCTGGCGCAACTGGGTTCCTTTGGCACGTTTGTTCCTTTGAAATTGTGGTGTGAATGGTTGGGATAGGAAGGGCCCACACCGAGATGTGGCTGTGGCTACAAGGTAATGCCCCGTGGCGACACGGCAATGCTCTTTATGTCGAATGGCTGGTGGTGGATGGCAGGGAGGGAGAAGGGTGGTTCCTTTGCAATTGTGGTGTGAATGGTTGGGGCAGGAAGGCTCCGCTCCACACCGAGTTGTGCTTGTGGCTACTGTGAAGCATTGGGCTAGGAAGGGTCCATGCCCCGAGATGTGTCTGCGGCTACGGGGTAGTGCTTGCTTTATATTGAATCTCTGGTGGATGGCAGGCAGGGATAAGGGTGAAACAAACAGGTACCTCACTTGTCTGTGTTCCAGGTAGCTGCTAATTGTCTGCATGCATCGGATGTGGTATTGGTGATGGAGAACATTTGCGATGAACTATTTGTTGTATAGAACGTGTGGCAAAGTTCATATTCTGAAACTCGATCTGCTGGTCGAGTTGTCGCTTCTCCGATGAGGCTGCTACTTTGTCTGCTACTTTGTCTGTGTGTAGTGCAGATTCAGTTGTCAAGCCTCTTGCATGTATTTGAATAGTGACAGGACGCCCGTCAGGCCATTGTGTGAAGGGAGTTGGTCAGCAGTGTGCTAAGAAGAATGCAATATGACAGCAGGTAGTGCGGATGATGCAGGTGTAATTCATCCTGCGTTCCCTGAGTATCACTAGGAATTTGGGCTACATGTTCCTTGACGGAAGGCTGAGTTTTCCAACCAAACCAGCAGCAGCGCGTTGCGGGTCTCTCTCCAGTATCAAGCGATGTTGAGGATTGTTCTCGCCACGAGCGAACCATCGTGCAATGGACGGCTGAGGGAGAACAGCACAAGGAGCACGATAAAGGAATCGCAGGTTATGATACTTTACAGGTGGGGTTGAACTCTTTATGTCATTCGAGAGTTTCCTGTCATGACTAATGAGTGACAGAAATTTTACTGGCAATGGCAATCCAGACCCTCGGGCACGATGTCGGACAGGGAAATAATCGTAGGTGATACTTTACAGTGAGAGCCTATGGTGAGGAGCAGTAGCCGCAAGGGATAGGATCTGGTTGCAGTGTGGGAGCAGAGTCCCTTGTCTGAAGGGAGTGTGTTGTGGAGGTTCTGGAGATTCGTTGACGATGCGGCGGAAGTTGGGAAGAGTGCTCGACCATGGCTCACCTGTGAACACGTACCTCGTTCGTATATCGCTTTGGAGGAAATGAGGAAAGTACTGAGCTCTCCGTCTGAAGAGCGGGATGGATACGTCTATCTAATCGAATGATTGGGACACTAGCTGTTGGGCGTGGGTGTGGCTGCCAGAGGTGGTGTGGTTCCTTGTGTGGTACGGTTCCGGGACCCAGGTCTTGGAAATCTTACACTCCTGGGCTGTAATGGACCTATCTACTGCAACTTCACAACAACAACAACAACAACAACAACAACGACAACAACGACAACAACAGGGCTTCTACTGCATCCGCGTGGGACGGACAGGGACTATCTTCTTGAGGTGTGGCCGTCCTTGTGGGATGGAAGGGGGAGGGACTATTTTTCTGACCGATCTAGTTGGTGGATGTGCATGGTGTCAGTATTGGCCAATGGAGTAAGCAATGTGGAAACGGAGCGGCTTGGTCATTATCATTTTTCGTTTTTTTTTTTTTTTTCCATTTTCTGAAGTTCCTTCGTGCAAATGCTGGGCACTGCCCGGGCAGCTGAACACTTGTCATTCTGGGAAATGTGTCTGGCATGTTGTATGCGTGTGCATGCGTTTTGCAGTTACATATGATGATGAGAAACTGGTAGGAGGTAGAGGAAAGGTGGGAGAAAGGGACGGGGTCAGGACCTACCCAACTGGATGATTTAAGCTACTGTTTGCCGGTTTATTTGCAGACATGGCGCAGACCAGACATCTGTGTGGTGTCTGTGATTTGAGTGATATTCGTCATTGGAGTGTTTCTTCTTGACTCTTAGAGTTGGGTGTTTATCATCTGTCCAGTTCTTGGGCAAATTGAGCTGATTGCAGAGGCAAGATACTTTATTAGAGTTTAATCCATCACCTTATTGCAGGCAGCAGGTGCTCTTGTATGGGCCAAAATTGAGACGTTTGTGTACCATTCATGTATGGATTCCTGAAAGGGGACTCCTCAGTTTGGTTCTCTTTTGGCCTCGTCAGCACACTGAGAAGACAGTGTTGCAATTTCCCTGTTCAGCAAGAATAAGGTGTTCATTTCAGTTGTATTTATATTGTGCTTGGTGTTGTGAATTGTCACAAATTGACAAGTATCCCTTGTGGGACTCCTCAGACATACGGACTGCTACTCATCTCTGTGCTAAACAGATCGTCTGACATTCCCTACAGCTATCTGTTTGAAACGCACATAGTCAGTAAATGAGGAGTGATGGATTCCTCTTTTTTTTTTTTTTTTTTTTTTTTTTTTCTTAATAGGAGATAAGAGAGCATCGTGTCATTTACGTATCGCTCACCGCCCCTGGTTCTTGCTCGTTATACTCGATGTAGCTTCCCTCTTCTTTGGAGGTCTCCTCTTCCTATTTTTAATATTTATTAACCCATTTCCCTAAGGGTTCTCTGTCTGTTGACGTAACCCCCTGTCTGATGCCTGATCTCTGAATATAGTTGAAAACAATGAAAAGTTGATTCCTTTTTTTTTTTTTTTTTTTTCTTAACTGATCAGAACAGATACTACACTTGATCTTAGCCAAAAGGCCGAGAAAGGTATTGATGGATTCTTCTTTTGAAACGAAACACAGATGAAAAATAAAAATCTGACACTGAAGTTGAGTGAACTGAAATGTTGCTGGCACGGTTGCCATCACAAACCAACTGCGCGCGTGTGCGTGCGAGTGTGTGTGTGGTGTAAGCCGTCATGGTGTCTCCACAACAACCCCTTCTCCAACCAGATGAGTAGAATTGGAACAATCGGTCCATGAAGCATGCAAAATCTGCATGCAGTTCTGTCCTTGCCCTCGTACATCCTTTTACGCATGCAGCTCGTTCTTTGTTGTTCTTGCTTTTCCTGCACTTCAAAAATAAATTATCGGTGTTCCAATCGGAACAGACGCTGGCTTGTGTCTTTTTTTTTTTTTTTTTTTTTTTTTTTTTGCGCAACCCAGAGTGAATCACTGAGAGCATTCCTCAGCTTCGCTTATCATCATGCATACGAACAATCCAAACGATTCTATCCTCGTATCTAAAAGAGACTCCTTGTAACCTAGCTACTCAGAAGTTTCTAATCTGATGCTGTACTGCGATGGAGCGCACTTTGTTGATAACATTTGTCAGCATTATCTTCAAGCCACTCAGCAATATGCCGTCACTTATCGCTTCATTGATGATGTTCTTTCATGGGGGCAACTGCCTCCTCCACCAGAGCGCTATGGGCTTGAGTGGAAGGGAACTACGGCTACAGATGGCTCGTGTACCTTTTTAGGTATGCAGGTACGGCTCCGTTCCGATGGCTCGCTTTGCATGAGCGTCTTTGATAAAGCGTCTGCTTGGGACTTCCCTGTCATTTGTAAACCAAGTGTGAAAATTCCAACATCCCTTCCCATCAACCAGCCGGTGTGTTCACTGGCCAATTGTTGACCAGATTTCGACAAATCTGTAGCGCGATTGGCGGACGTTTGAACTGCAGCAACAACACTTGCGCATCACATGATGGCATTTCCCACCAACCCTTGCGTAGGGGTGGGACCCGCCAAACGAGCTCCTCCCAACGTCGCCATCCTACGGATGTGATGCGTCCCTCTCAGTGGTTGCGACGCATGCTGAGGTGATCCTTGTATCATCCACGTTCTTCTTTGCCTCCACATCGCTCTTGTCCTGCCCCTGCTTGCCCATCTGCTGCTAGCGAAGTTCCCACTCCTGCAGTTCCCACTGCTGCAGTTTCTACTGCTCCAGTTTCCACTGCTCCAGTTTCCACTGCTGCAGTTTCTTCCAGTTTCCACTGCTTCAGTTGCTTCAGTTTCCACTGCTGCAGTTTCTACTACTGCAGTTTTCAGTACACCAGTTTCCATAGCTGGAATTCCCCCTTGCTGTACTTTTAACTGCTACAGCTTCCTCTTCGGCAGCTCCAGTGCAAAAGAACGTCACAGTTTCTCCGACGCCCGCGTCCTTTATTTTGAAATCTTGCCCAATCAACCCCCCTCTCATGTCTTTCTGTGCATGGAGGCAGACGGCTGCATTCTGCCTCGCCACCCCCATCTCCTCCACGGTCTCACTTGCTAACGGACTCTCCGGTTCCTGTTGTTCTCATTGTTACGTTGTTGTTACCCACAACATGTTCATCTTCAGTTGTGCAAGACTAGTACTACCCTTGTTGTGTATTGTCAACGGCATGCACTGCGTTGTTGTTTGTCCGGGAACCAGCAGCTTGATTGTTCATTCTTTCTTGGCCTGCACCACAGGGAATAGCGGTTCCTTTGTGCCAAATGGCAATATCTGCTCCGATTCCTCCTGCAGACAGTCCAGCCGCCCGCAGGTGGCCACGGGACCATGTTTCATGCCCTTCAGCGTTAGAAATGACCACATGTTTCATGCCCTTCAGCGTTAGAAATTCATTAGTGACCGGTGCAACAGGATGCCATTTGGCACAACGGAACACAACAACCTGTGGAGCAGATATTGCGGTTCCTTTGTGCCAAACGACAATATCTGCTCTGATGCCTCCTGCAGACAGTCCAGCCGCCTCCAGGTAGCCACGGGACCATGTTTCATGCCCTACAGCGTTAGAAATTCACTAGTGACCGGTGCAACAGGATATGCCATTTGGCACAAAGGAACGCAATAACCTGTGGAGCAGATATTGCGGTTCCTTTGTGCCAAATGGCAATATCTGCCCCTATGGCTCCTGCAGACAGTCCAGCCGCCTGCAGGCAGCCACGGGACCATTTCATGCCCTTCAGCGTCAGAAATTCACTAGTGACCGGTGCAACAGGATGCAGTGCCTGTCCAGTGGGCACTCCCAATTCAGAGGACAGTCCCTGCTCAGGATGCAGCCACGAATGTTGAGTGATTGGAACATGATTTGCCTGGACTGAAGTTAATCGCACGAAGCGTAGACCACATGGGGGATCTGCAAATAGCTGGCCAACATTGTTTGGATGATCCACACATTTGTGATCTGCAAATGACTGACCAGCAAACAACCCAAGACATTTTGGGCTTGCAACACCATTTGGGTGATATCAGATCTGCAAATTATTGGCCAGCATCTGGCGCACCAGCTTGGAAATCCACACCAATATTTGTGGTCTGACTTTAACTAATATCTGTCTTCACATTATCCACCGCCGGTTTTATATATCATGAGACTTCCTTGCAATTGCCCTTCAGCTTGATGCTAATAATCTTTCGCGCCTACAGCCAGAGGATTGTAATTAAACCAGGGAACGAGGCATTGTTTGAACTTTGAACCAGTGTTCAGCATCATAACGACAGGTGTTCCAATCATGATGTGCGGCCCAGTCTACCCTGCTATCACGCACAGTGGTGATGAGACATGGAATGAGGAGAGCTATCATGAAAGGAATCACAGGAAGGGAGGTAGATGTTGGTCTTGCCATGCCGCTAAACGTCCCTTTCCTTACGTGTAGTTATCTAGGCTACCATACCAGGCGGGCCGCCCGGGTCCTGGGTTGCCAGCCCGTGCAAGGACCAGGGGTGGTCCCACCAAAAAAAAAAAAAAAAAAAAAAAAAAAAAACATCCGAAAAAAAAACTATGTTATGCAGAAAAATAAACTGAACAACTTTTGCCTCAGGGTCACATCAAAATTCTTCACCAAATTTAAAATAAAAATAATTTTAAAAATATTGTTTTATAACTTTTATTTCTATTCTTTTTGGCCCGGCCGGGCAAGTGACCCCGGGCCACTCTGGTAGCCTAGGTAATTATGACATTATGAGTAATAACTTTTTTAAACATCCAAACATTTTGTAGGATTTAAAATATATATATATGGTCATCGAGTGAGGACCAATAAGGAGCAAAAACTGAAATGGAAAATGAGACCACGGTCTAGGGATTTTGGAGCGCCCAAATTTATCCGACTAGAAACGTTTCTACTCTATTTTTTCATGCGCCTGATAGCTGGGCCAAGTACTGGTGGTTTAATTCGGAAGAGTTGTCGATGTCTCTGTGACAGGTGGCATTCGCCGTGAAGTTTCTCAAGCAATGCTAGGCGTCCCTATGTATGCGATGTACACAAAGTACATGAGCGCACATAGTGTACAAAGCAGCACCTGGCATCGTACGTGCATGCGATGCCGTTTTCGGCCATGAAAAAGTTTTTTTTTTTTTTTTTTTTTTGGTCGATGTGGGGTGGGGACGGTGCTCCTCAGTGGTTCCTTGGACACAATGCATCCTCTTTTTGGCAACGCCAGACCGAAAGATAGTTTCTGTACATTCGTTTTTTTTTTTTTTTTTAATAGAACTCCAGGGTGTTGTAGAGGTCAGCTTCTGGACCCACGACAGGTACCTTAACCCACCTAAAGAGGCCACCTCCCTCCCAACCTCACGACTATTCTCCGTGGCATATTCCTTACTTCATTAGTCGCTCCTCAATACAAGGACCATCACCCAACCCCCTGCCCACGTGGACACGGTGAAATCGCAATTGTAGACTCTAGTACTAAGCAAGGTCCCGTTCACCCTACCTAACCCACAGTGGAAGCATAGTCGAGCAAGCCACGTTACCCAGGTGCTCTGAATACCAGGGGAAACCATGTATAACAACCGGTCTAGGGAAACCATATATCACAACCTAACCAAACCATGCATTCACCCTACCTAACCATACAATGCCATACAATTGGAAGCATGTATTACAACTTGTTTGGGGAAACCATGTATCACAACCGTACATACAACAGCATACAGCTGGTGTGGGGAAACCATGGATTACAATTCAACGCACCTGATAACGTTGAGTTTGGGGAAGACCGCACTCTGATTGAATTCGAAGTATGCTTCCGGTCTAGTGTTGAAAAAGTGAGGGTCTCTCTCTCTCTCTCTCTCTCTCTCTCTCTCTCTCTCTCTCTCTCTCTCTCTCTCTCTCTCTCTCTCTCT